AATCTTACTTTTATTTGCCTACATCTGTATTTTATGGAAAACTTTTCAATTTGAAGAGTTTTGAACGATTAAAAATTGTAAGAAGCGATTTTGATAAGATTATCAGCCATTTTGGATTTGCATCTGCATATTTTTCAAATCACATTTTAACTAAGCATTGGATGAAATACGTAAAAGTGTGGGGAGAAAAGTACATTATGTTTTAAAAATACTTGTCTCACTTTCACAAGGGCATTTTCCGCTGCAATTACTAGATGACTTCCAGCATACATTCTTACTAAATGCCGGTCAAACAAAATCACATAAGTCTCCACTAAAAGRAYATAAATCCATTTTCCGCTGTTCACAATTTCTTAATCACAGGCCATTACTTTTTCTGGAATTTCATAATGTATCAACATCTCTTCAGTTCAAGATATGCCTAATCGAAATTAAAGTGCACCTACAAGATTTTTCAAAATCTCTAAAATAAAAATTTAGGTTAATGGAAGCACATCTGTGAAAGAATTTTTCGTTTTTATAAAAAAAGCGAATTTTTGGTGAGCTTACAAACATCGGAAAATGTGCACTTTGAGCTCTTTTTTTGGTCTCAATACCGGGAAAGACTGGGACGGACTCTGACGTCATCCCAGGACAAGTCATTTGTTGTTATCGAAGCTTGACAGTGGATTTTATCACGAGTCAACTCCAAAAAGCTGATTTAACGTCGATTTTTATACTCTTTCGCGAATGAAATGCCCATCAAGTGCGTTGTTGGTGKCTGCAGTAACAGGCCAGATATTTTGAAGGGAATCGACCTTCAAGTTATCAAGTTATACCTTTTGGACGACCCAAAGCAAGAAAGAGACAGAAGAAGTGGCTCGACTTTGTCAAAATCAAGCGTGACAATAAACTATACTGCTATATACTTATTGAGAAAAGTCAAGCGCCTGCCGTGAACTCAGTTTACTAGTAATAGGCCTGGAATTTCAGCAAMTTCTTTTGGCCTCGGCACAACATACCCAAAACAGCCATTAGCGATTTGAGGCAAGTTCTCTATGACTATATGCCCGGCAGTCTAAATTTCTCGTAGTCGAGAAAATGAAATAATCAAGTACGATAAGGCAAACRCATGACTGAAAATATTCTTCCTTTCAAGCGCTTTTCTATTTTCATGAAATGAAACGACTACGAATCCAGCAATGAACACTCTTTCGTTCTTGATTAAGCGCTTTCCAAGCGAYCCAGAAGCAAAGCGTGAAGTGTTAGTCGGTTTTCAGTTCAAAATTATGAGTGCCGGGCGTCGTATTTTCACAATTTTGAAACCGCCGATCAAGCTCAGCTTTTGACATTTCTTTGCAAAGGAAGAATATTTTCATGTCTGTGATCGTGATTGTTTTATATTTCATTTTCTCGAGAAGAAGTGCCTCAAATGACTATTTCGTATTCTGTCCCGAGGACAAGGAAGTTGCTGAAATTCAAGTCTACTGGGCTCACGGCAAGCGCTTGACAATGATTGTCAGTGAATAAGAAACGGTTTGATACATTCAATTTTAGCAGTTTTATTTATTTTTGTGAGCAAAATAGACTTGTATAAGGCATTTAGTCTTTAGCGATCGATCTTATGTCCTGGGATGACGTTACAAGAGTCGCGCCAGTTCCTGCTCCGACAAAATAATTTGGAACACTTAATTTTGGCTTTATTTTTACGATTACGTCGGAACCGTTTACAAAATAATCACCAAACTTTCACAGATGTGCTTCCATTAACCTAAATTTTTATTTTAGAGATTTTGARAAATCTTGTAGGTGCACTTTAAGAAGAAACACACTGCCCATAAGCGAAAGAAGAAAAAATCTTGAAAAATTAACAGTGGCTTTAATCTTTTATTTTCAACACTCTACTTAAGAATATTCAAAAACGTTTTAGAGTGTACACACTCTTCATGATTATCACATTATTACTTATATAAATATAATAATCATTCTTTATTGCAGTAAAATATGTGTAAAAGGATAAAACATCGCATGCGAATACTAGAGTTATCAGTATTATTACTAAATTAACTATCACAATGTGCAACATAAGCGGCTCCAGTGCCATAGCATAAATCCATTTTCCAATGTTTACAATCTGTTATTCACAGACCATACTTGCCTGTGAGTCGCTTTTTGCGTTAAAATATCAGTCTTTAAAGCGGCAAAAATTAACTTGATTCAAATACCTCCTTTTTCCCTACGTATGTTGGTCGCCATGTTGACAATAACAGTAACACAGGAACAATAGCACAGAAAACTAAACCGAGGTGAAACTTCATCGAGTCATAAAACAATGAAACGCAATTAGTTAAAAACCAACGTTTTTAACGTCAGGTTATGTAATAGTCTGTATTTCAATTATAAACCTAGATTTATTTAATAACCCTGCTTTCGAAGAGTAAAAAAGAACGCAAGGAAGTTTTGAATCATTTTAATGTCGACGTTTCGACTATAAGCACTTCCAGCAGTTCCAGCGTCATTTGGATCGATAAGGCTAGGAAAAGATCTTGGCCTTGACGGAGTCCGATCGTTCAGGGATGGCTTTATCTTTTGGATATACAGCAACTCGTGATTCATGTAATCCATTTTGCTTAAGCACTTATTTTTAATAAGTATTTTAAAMTTAGCTCTCAAGTCAAGTAGTGTACCCCCGTAAGGCATTGGGATACGTACCAATGTACCTGACTTGAGCGCTAATCTTAAAATAATTAACAAATGGAATAAATGGATCACAAGTTGCTGTATATTCGAAGGATAAAGCCTTCCCTAAACACTCAATCGCATTCCGTCAAGGCGAAGATCTTTTGCTAACTTTATCTCCTTTATTCTCAACCATATAACTTTGCTATCAAATAATTATTCTAAGTTTCTCTTAAAGTGCACCTTCACGATTTTTTTTATTATCTAAAACAATTTTTATGAACCTTGTAAGACTTTCTGTGAAAGTTTGGTGATYATTTTGYAARCGGTTGGGACGAAATCGGAAAAATAAAGCCAAAATTAAGTTCGTCAAATTCTTTTGTCCGTGCGGGGACTGGCGCGATTCTTGTGACGTCATTCCAGGCCATAAGTTCGGTCGCAAAAGACTAAATGTCTTATAAAAGTCTATTTTTCTCACAAAAATCAATAAAACCGCTAAGATTGAATGTATCAAACCGTTTTATATTCACTGAGAATTGTCAAGCGCTTGCCGTGAACTCAGTAGATTTGGATTTCAGCAAATTCCTCGTCCTCGGCACAGAATACGAAATAGTCATTTGAGGCACTTCGAAATTTTTACCTCGCGAAAGACTATGTACGTACAAGGCAGTCTAAATTTCTCGAGAAAATGAAATATAAAACAACCACGATTACAGACATGTCAGACATGTCAAGCGCTGAGTTTGATCGGCGGTTTCAAAATCGGGGAAATACGATTCCCTGCACTCATAATTTTGAACTGAAAACAACTAAAACTCTACGCTTCGCTTCTGGATCGCTTGGAAARMGCYTACATGTAATATGTTTCAAGAACGAAAGAGTGTTCATTTCTGGATTCGTAGTCGTTTCATTTCATGAAATTAGAAAAGCGCTTGAAAGGAAGAATATTTTCAGTCATGTGTTTGCCTTATCGTACTTATTTCATTTTCTCGACTACGAGAAGTTTAGACTGCCGGGCATAGAGAACTTTGCCTCAAATGACTATGGCTGTTTTGCGTATTTTGTGCCGAGGCCAAAAGAATTTGCTGAAATTCCAGCCCTATTACTAGTAAACTGAGTTCACGGTAGGCTCTTGACATTTCTCAATAAATATATAGCGGTATGGTTTATTCGTCTTGTCAGTGCATTTGGCACGCTTAATTTTGACAAAGTTGAGCCACTCTTTCCGTCTTTTTCTTGCTTCGGGTCGTCGGAACTTGAAGGTCGATTCCCTTCAAAATATCTGGCCTGTTACTGCAGCCACCAACAACGCACTTGATGGTCATTTCATTCGCGAAAGAGCATAAAAATCGATGTTAAATATGATTTTTGGAGTTGACTCGCGATAAAATCCACTGTCAAGCTTCGATAACAACAAATGTCTTGTCCTGGGATGACGTCAGAGTCAGTCCAAGTCCTTCCCGGTATTGAACCAAAAAAGTGAGCTCAAAGTGGACATTTTCCTATGTTTGTAAGCTCACCAAAAAGTTGCTTTTTTATAAAAATGAAAAATTATTTCACAGATACGTTTCCATTTAACCTCAATTTTAATTTTAAAGATTAAAAAAAAAATCGTGAAGGTGCACTTTAAAAATGACACTTTAGTTTTGCGTTAGTTTTTACTCTTCAAATTACAAACAAAGCAAAACTGTAGTCAAAACCGTGCTATCCTCCTATAAATACAGTCGAATCTCTACTTAGGGACGCTCCCCTAAGCGGACAATAGTTCTACTTACRRACAGCTTTTCAAAACATCGTYTTTTCTCCAATACAAGCACGCGTGTATTTGTACTTTCTATTAAGCGGACTTTATAGTAAGTGGACGCGGACACTTTTAGCGTTTCCCGAGTGACCTTTTTTAATGTTTTCAATCTCCCGTAAGCGGACACTTAAATTCAATAACTTTTATTTGATCTATTTTTGAGATTAATAATAAAGCGGCATTTACATTTGACAAGGAAAAATTGCTCGTGTAAATGGGGTAAAATGGGCAATTTTTCCTTGTCAAGGAAAACCCAACATGTTCGCTTTTCCTTGACAAGTAAAAATTGTCAAGGACGAAATTGGCTCGTGTAAATGGCCAATAAGGAAAATGTGGAAAGGAAAAAAATGAAATTTTTCAAATGCAGTAACTCTTACTTCCACTGGCCTTCAGTCTTTAGAGAAAACAAAGTTCTTTCAACGTGACTAGAAAGAGTATTTGTAAAATAAATCGCTTAACCATTGAGTCACTCTATCTTTAATGTTAAAATCGCACAGAATCAGTGGACACATACGGGACTTTTCTATTGTTTAAGCGCGAGATTCAAATTGAGATCATTCAGCTGTAGCGGAGTTAATGAGGCAAATTACAAAGAAAACTGACTGAAACACGTTAACCTCGAATATAAAATTGCGAAAAACATCATTTGGGGTCAATCTGTTAAAAAAGGTCGGTTTGAATAATAAAGTTAAGATACACTTGGATCTTCTGCACTTTAAATAATAATAATAAACCATTGGGAAGTTTGGGCAATCTTTGGTTAAAAAGTAAGACATTAAGAGTTTTTTTGTATGGGAATAATATTCATGTCAAAAAAACATGCTTTCAAAATTATGACAAAAAAAAGGTCGCATAGCAAATAAACCTGATAAGTGTTAAGAGTATTTTTAACCTTTAACTGTCTTATGTTCAATTTTCTAAGTTTGGGCAATTCTAAATTGAATATTTTGAGCTCATTAGTACGCAAAAGGACCATATTAAGTGAGTTCAGGTATTACACCTTTTAATTAGCCTATTGAAATTGAGGCCTAGCGATTTCGCACGTTTCCGTTCCGATGAACACTCATCTGTTTACATAACCTATTGACAATCACCTGAAGACAATACGACCTAAATAAGCGGCAGATTCAAAACTCCCGCCATTTCTAAGTCTTTGATCGTGTAGTTTACAACTAAAATGGATCGCGCACAAAATTTTTCCGATCGGGAGCTCTTTTCAGAGCTCTTAGAACCCCCGATAAAACCAACTCATGTATTCAACATACATATTTACCGTGAGGTAAATCCTGAGGGTGGTGGATACATCCTTCAACTTAACGGAGCTGCGCTATGGGAGTGGAGGCATCTACGACATTCGTACCAAAAACTCTTCAAAGCCGTCTCCGTCAGCTTGAAGCAACTTTCTTACCATCTAAATCCTCTCTATGAAAATAGAGTTTGCGAAGTTGTTAAATGCCATATTTATCGAGTATACAAGCA